GTCAAGAAGCACTGGGGAAGGACAGTGGGAAATAGCTGTCTGAGGGTAATGGGGTGAAGCTGACCAGGAGACCAAAGTGACAGCTAAAACAACACACACTGGGAGCCATTTGTGTAGGTACAAGGGACTGTTCACACACTGCACTCACAGTTCATCTACCCACAAGCACAGGCTTCAGGGCCAACTGACTGAGACTGCTGGAGAAGTTCCTGAGTGTTCCCATCTCCCACCAAGGGCAGCAGGAGCAGATGGGACCTGAAAGCAACACTAGAAGCATGGAAGAGCCTGGAGACCCATGGGGAAACCAGGGTAGCTTCATAGGAAAAAGTCATCTGAAAATCAGGAAAGCATTTTTTTTCTGAAGAGTCCAACAAAAGGTCTCCCAATGTCATGACAGCAAGGCTGTTTTTATAATCCTGGCAAGTCACAAGTTGCTTTTTTAAAAATTTTTCTAGTCTAACACACTCAGAAAATGAGATTTAAAATTTGTCTTTGTGCAAACAATCAATGTTGTGTCTTACACACCATGCGTGGACCAGTTACAAGGCTTAACCATGGCTGGGGCTTGAGCTGCCATCAAACACCTGCAGAAAGGTCAAATGTTTGATCATGGGTGATAAATATATGTGTATTATAATACAGAAGTGTACTGGGAGACTACACTCCCTCCACACTGTCCACACCTGGTCTCCTGTGTAGCACATGGTGGGATTGTTGGGGTGTCTTGTGCAGAGCAGGAGTTGGACTCCCTGATCCTTGTGGGTCCCTTCCAGCTCAGGACATTCTCTGATTCATGACTTGACATCTGTGATGCATTTGTTGAGCTTGCAAACACAGGTGAAAATTTGCTGTGCCATATTTACTAAACATCCCTTATGATTTTCACAGAATTACAGAATCTTTAGAGTTGGAAGGGACCCCCAAGGATCATCACTCCAACTCTTGGCCCTGCACAGGACAACCCAGCAATCCAACCTATGCCTGAGAGCATTGGCCAAACACTCCTGAGCTCTGTCAGCCTTGGGGCTGTGCCCACTGCCCTGGGAGCTGTTCAGTGCCCAACACCTCTGGGGGAAGAACCTTTTCCTAATACCCAACCTAACCCTCCCTTGACAAAACTTCAACCATCCCCTCGGGTCCTGTCACTGGTTGCCAAAGAGAAGAGCTTTTACATCATCACACTGGATTTAGATGGACTGACTCGGAGAAGAACTCAACTTTCAAAGCACTTTCCATGTTTTCTGCCCAAGCTTCCCACCCTGCAGCTCAAATGCCACCTAACCACTCCAGCAAAGCCAGAACCAGAGCTGTGTTGATTCATTCCTCGAGGCACTGAGGCCAAACACCTTTCATTAGTGACTTCTCTGCACCAGCTCTTGAAAGCACTGGGTGGATGTCTCAGGCAGAGCCTTTCAGCACTCACCGTGGTTGGAGTGTCTCACACAGTCTCCCAGCAGAGTGCTGAAGTGCCTCTGAGCTTCTGGCTCAGGAAAGCAGTAGTAGCTGTGCCGGGCGAAGGGCTGCCACAGGTAAACCGGGAACTCCTTCGGCAGCTGGACAAAGGCTGGAGACACCTCCTTCTCACTCGAGCCTGCACACAAAACACATCTCCACTTGAAATCTGCAGAGTTCTTGGCATGGGGTTGGCTCTTTTCTAGGCCTTTTTTTTATAGATAGAATCATAGAATCAACCAGGTTGGAAGAGCCCTCAAAGCCCATCCAGTCCAACCCTCCCGTGGTCACTAGCCCATGGCACTCAGTGCCACATCCAGTCTCAGCTTAAAAACCTCCAGGGATGGTGAATCCACCACCTCCCTGGGCAGCACATTCCAGTGCGTGAGCACTCTCTCTGGAAAAAACCTCTTCCTAGCAGGGAAGAAAGAAAAATCTCTTTTCTAGCAGGGAAGCATGAGAGATGAAAAAATCAAGTCTCTTTCCTGACCCAAGTGACTGGGCACAGAGGGAAGGGGGGTACAGCTGGGATGGGCACACTCAGCAGGCACCAACACCTCTCTGTGTTACACCACAGCAACTTGATGGGCTCTTGATTTGAGTTCAAGGTGGCCAAAAGCTACACAGTGTTGGTAAAATGTCAAAGAAACTATATCACTGGATTGCAGCTGCTTGAGAAAAGGTTTTCATCGCAAATAAGTAGGTGAGTAGGCAGCTCTGGTCTCTTCCACACAGAGATCATATAGGAGCATATGGTCTTTTACACAGAAACAAACTGCATTACAGTGTTGGAACAGCAATGCTTTCCCTGTCTCCAGGGAAAAGAGCTGTCCTTATCTCCAGGGCTTCCAAACACACCTACAAGATGGCCTAAAGTTCAAGCAAAGAAAGCAGTCAGGACCTCCAGTTCTCACCTGCCCCAAGTCACTGTGCACAGGGGATGCTGTACAACATGTTTAGGTCTGACCAAACCCAATCTTGAGTCACTAACATGCATGGAGAGCCCAGACACAAGAGGTTCAGCTCAGAGGGTCTTCAGCATCGCACAGAAGGGGAGAAAGGGCATAAAGGACTAACTGAGCCACTCTTTTTGTGAAGAGAGAGCCATGAGAAGCCCATAAACAGCCTTGGGGTGCTCCATGGTGCTCAACCCAAACTGCTATGGAGCTGTGGTGACACACAGGGACACCTTGAAGCCTCGTGCTGCCCTCAGACCACCCTAGGCCTACGACCAAGGCTGTAAGGATGACATCTCCCAACAGTCACAACTTTAAGTAGTATGAGACAGGACTTTAAATTAAACCCTTGCCTTCATGTTGGGCTTATCCCTTTCCTATGTGCCCCCCTGTTTTCCAAATCTGACTCTGCAACATGGTATCTGCTCCCTTAAAGCCTGAATTTTCTCCACCTCTATGCAGTGGGGACAGGCAGGACCACAGCAGTTCCCATCCCACAAACAACAAACCCAGCAGCAGCAACCTTCCTGGGATAGATTATCAACTGTGAGTCAACACAGGCAGCTGGCATCTAAAAATGGAAACAAATAAACCAGGAATACTAACAAAGCCTGGGAACAATGGTGCTCTGGTTCCTGCCCTGCTTCGGCATGGCTTCCAGCAGCTTTGTGCTAGGATGCTGGGAAAAGGGGAGCCAGCATTTCTCTGCATGTTAGCTGAGAGCATCTCCTGCATGCATGGCTCTGGAGCTGTGCTCTGGCCTGGGAGAAGGGCTGGGGGTGTCTCCTGTTGCCCCATCTTACAGCTGAGCCTGAAAGCCTGCCCAGGACTGAGGAACAGGGTTTGGGATTTGGCAGTTCAGCTTCCAGCAGGGCTTACCAACAGGATCTGGGAAATGTTTATCAGACAGCAAATTGTAATCTTCTTCTGAAGTCAGCACTTTGCCTCCTGCAGGAAGGACATGATATTTAGGGCTAGCTCCTTTCTGGTAGGCCTGGAAAACCAAGAGAGAGGGAGTGTTGTCAAACAGAGATTTAAGGAGAGGGAAAACATGAACTGCACAGCTCACTGATAAAGCCAAGAGTTGGACTTGATGATCCCTGTTGGCTCCTTCCAGTTCATGATATTCTGTTCTTCCCCCAAAAGAAAATCTTTTTGTCAGGCTGAATTTTTGATATGTTCCCTAGACATGTCAGATTTAAAACATGGGTAAAGGTAAAAAACCTGTTTGAAAATATCTTCTCAGTGCTTATCTGCAGTGGGGAAGAACTTCTGCCTAATATCTAACCTAAACTTCCCACTTTGGATTTCTCCCCATTGCTCCTTGTGCTGTCAGTGCAGTTCCTAACCAGGAATCCCTCTCCAGCTTCCATGTAGGCCCTTCAGCTCCTGACCTATGAGGTTCCCACACAACCCTCCAGGCTGAGCAGCCCCAACTCTCTCAGCCTGTCCTCATAGGGAAGGTGCTCCAATCTTCTTATCAGTTCCATGGCCTCCTCTGGCCTTGCTCCAACAGTTCCCTGCCCTTCTCATGCTGAGAACACCAGAACTGTGTGCAGCACTCCAGGTACAGGTATATCAGGTTCATTGGAAGTGTAGAAAAATGTAAGAGGAAGAAGTATTTACCTCTTTGGTCTCAAAGCAATCCACAGTGTAGTCATTCCTGATAACGACGTATCTGTCCTTCCATTTCTTCAGGTCCTCAGCGAAATGCAGCAGCTCTGCCTCGTACAAAACTGTCCCAGCTTCCACAGGGGGCTACAAAGACAGTTTGTGAGATCTGAGGTGACTCTGCACTACTCACCATTCTGAAGCTTTTATCTGTACATCTTCTAAGGCTTCTACAAGGGCTCTGGAGTCTTCAAATGCCATTTGGAGCCATAAACATCTCTCTGATTTGGGCAGATAGTACACACACAAGCAAATTCATGTGGCCTGAGGTGAGGAGGCACCAGAAGAGCTCTTCCTTCCAAACACTCTGCCAGATTTCTCAGACAGAGATGTTGTTCACCTTTCAGTTGGTTTGCTGAATGTAACAGCAGAGAATCCCAGAATGGTTTGGGTTGGAAGGGACCTTAAAGCTCATCTAGTTCCAACCCACTGCAAGATGACTTGTAGCTCACCATCACCCTTTTCTACTAGATACTAACAGCATTTCATTGATGCAGCAAAGAGTTTTATTGCAAAAATAGTCAATTGTTTCCCATTTCTTTCTAATACTTTTTCACCTGTGCTCCAGGGACTGATGTGCATCTTCCTGAAAGATATGGCTCTTCTATTGTCCCTCCTCTTACACCTCACCTCATTGCTTTGCCCTACTCAATCCAAAGCACTGGAAACCTGTGATTTCCAACATGGCCAGAAAGTTTAGATTTGTATCTCCTTAATATTGAAGGTTTTCTGCATTTTCCTCTTATACAGATTTCTGTCTCTCTTTTTGTCTCTCCTCTAATAAAAGCAATTTTCCAGAGCTCACTCCACAGAGGGGATTATTGCCAAATTCCTCATGGAAACCTGTAGCCATGGCTGAAAGGGTTGATGAACTTTCCTACATAAATCTCTGGCCTGAATGTGTGATCTCTGTCCCAGGATTTTGCAGGACCCTGCAAACAGCAGGAAACCATAAGTTTCATCCAAGTGTCCAACTCTTTGAACCAGAGACTTGTGTCATGGTTCTCCTCATGCTACGATGAACAACTGAACAAGATCGAAACAAAGATGAACTTTCAAAACTGAACCTTCAAACCTGCACCTTTTCCACCTCAAACCTAATGGAACCAAATCCAACACCTACACTTGCAAGCCTGTTGTGTGCAGTTGGGTTGTAGGTAAGAAAATATCCATGTTCCATGGCCTAGATACGTTTGTTACATGCTCAACTACCCAACATAAGCACCTGAAGAAACAGTTGTGTCCTGTGCTTGTATTCATAGAAACATTTAACTAACTTAAGAAAGAAACATTGGGTTGATTTCTAGAAGCTTTGCCTTTCTGTCCCATCTCTTATCTTCACTTGAGGGCATTCAGCACTGGCAAGAACAAGAAAACCAAGCCCAGGCAGTGGTTGATACATTTCCAGCTCATGTTTTTCATGCATTACAACTACTAAACGTGTGATTTATATAGTGACTACATTAATTATTTCACACAGGAGAGCAGAGCTGTGTGGAATCTTGAGGATGGGGAAGGCCTTAGGTGCTCTCCTACCTTGGTTTTCAGGAAGCGTGACTGGGAATCGCGGTGCTGCTCCAGCTCCTCCTGCACGTGCCGGCAGAAAGCCACGGCGTGCTGGCGCCGATAGTGTGGGCTGAAGTTGTTGATGACAGCCTCTGTTTTTCCTGGAGCAGAAATGGAGATTGAAGTGTATTTAATGTAACAGGTTCATAACCATAATGCAGAACCAAAGCACTGATCACCAACAACCCAAAATTCTTTGTGTTGGAGAAGAAAAGGCTTTGAGCTGACCTAACTGTGACCTTCCAGGACCTGAAGGGAGCCTACAAGAAACATGGAGAGAGATTATTGATAAGTTGCCCAGGGAGGTGGTGGATTCACCATCCCTGGAGGTTTTCAAGCTGAGACTGGATGTGGCACTTAGTGCCATGGGCTAGTGACCACGGGAGGGTTGGACTTGGTGATCTTGGAGATCTTTTCCAACCTGGTTGATTTGATGATTCTATGATTCAGCATTCCTGAAGGGCCAAGAAGGGAACTGTGACCTCCAGAGGCCTGGAAAAGCTGAACCACCCACATCCATAATGAGAAATCTCCCTGGACTGACAGACTCCTCCCAGCCACCCACCAGCACTGCCACCAAAAGGGATTCCCTGCGAGTTTTCAGGATGTTTCTGTGCTTCACACCACAAGCTGTGAGTCTGCAGCAGCCACAGTGAGGTCAGAGAGAGCTCTCCACATGTGATGCTTCAAGCAAACAGGCACAATCCTCCTGAAGTAACCACACAAAACTTCATGGATTGCTACTGATTCAGTGCCACTGCAGTTCTGGGAACTGCACTGGCATTTATAGCCCAAAAATGGGATTTAAATGTGCAGTTCCCAGAACGTTCATGCCTTTTTCTCATCTTAAATGATTATAAATACAGTCAAAAAAAGCAGGAAAGCAATGATTATAAGAATAAACACATGGGATTTTATGGGAGAAAGTGGATGCTACAGTTCAAAATGTACCACATCTGGATGCCCATTTCCATCTGAAAAACCCAAATATGTGTGGCTGAGGCTGCAGTGGAAAACTAGTTAGCTCACCAAGGAGTTCACAGAGAGGGAGAATGGCAAAAGATTTTGTAAGGTGCTTCCTTCAGCTCCAGCTCAGAGCTGCTCCTCATGTGGGACATTCCCAGGCTGTTAATTTCATCAATTCAGGGAGATGCACATTTAATTATTCCAGAGATTATTGCCCAGAGAAGCTGTGGCTGCTCCATCCCTGGGAGTGTTCCAGGCCAGGCTGGATGAGGCTTGGAGCAGCCTGGGCTGGTGGGAAGTGTCTCTGCTCACAGTGGGCAAGTTTTTCACAGGTTGACCTGTGGGACAGCACAACCTAGACTCCAAAGCTCCAGTTTTAAGGCAGATTTTGGGAGACCTACTGATGACAGGCTGTGCTCGGGTATAATAGCAGAATATGGTGCTGCTGAAGCCAAAAATCCCAGGTCTTTTAAAAGCTGCCTGCTTTGGGCAGGGACAAATTTATTCTCCAAATAAGGACAAAGCTTCCCAAAACCTTCTTTACAGCAATTTTTTTTTCTCTTCTGGCCCTAGCCAGCAGTAGGATGTTGTTGGCTCTGGCCCCAGTGGAGTTTCCTGCTCAGGGTTTGCCCCTATTTTCCACCACAGCTTTTGCTTTTCCAGCTTGCAGCAGCCTCTGAATCTGTTACAGAGGGCTCTGGGACACTGGACCTCACTTGACTACTGCCTGCATCCTGCAGTAAAACTTTGTAGAGGAAGTGGGACAAAGAATAAAATTCTGGTGTGGAGAAAAAAGACCTTCAACAATTGCAGGAAATACCTGTAATTTTGGCAAAAAAGTCTTTCAATTATGGCTAAATCGCCTCTAAAGTGCAACTCTTCCCTGTCAACAACGTTTAGATCAGCTTAGAGCACCATAAGCAAAGAGAAAGGAACTATGCAATGCATAATATACATGTGAGAGATATGACATTGATGTCATTTTTATGTGCAGACTATATTTATCACTAACCAGCACATGAGTCGAGGAGTAAATGCTTCAGGCTGTTTCTTCCAGTCTTTGCAAAGGATCTTTGCATTAAATATACTCCTTGCTCTTAAAACGAGAATAAAAGGGGTTTTTGAAGGGATTGAGTGGCACTCCAGGAGGCCCTGCCTTGCAGCACTTGGCTCCATTGTTCCTCAATGGATCTTTAAAGTCTTTTTGGTTTACAGAAGATAAAAATATGCTATCTGAAAATAAACACGATGGAAACAGCCATGAGTAACAGAAACTCTTCCCATGAAACGATAAGATGGGGCAACTGGAGATAAAATACTCCAGGGCAGCTGAAAAATGAGTTCCCCTAATTCTTTTCCAAATTTAGTGTGGCTCAGTCAAAGCTGTTTATATGGAGCAAGGCCAACTTTCCCACTTGGCTGGTCTGGCAACGGCACAGCTCCAGCCTGTCTAACTGGGAGCTGAAACCTGCAGCTAGGATGTTTAGCCTAGGAGAATGGAGAGTTTGACCAGCTCCAGGAGAAGCTCCATGCAGCCTCCTGGTCCTGTGCAGGGCCAGGAGTTGGGCTTGATGACCCTTGTGGGTCCTTTCCATCAACTCAAGTTGCCAACAGAAGAAGACACCAGTGCTGGAGGTGGAAGGATTCCTGTCATATTAATGTGGTGAGGGTCTGTTCCCCCTTGGCTGAGGGTTTAGACCCTGCTCTAGGATAAACTTTGCTGAGGCTTCGTGATGCATCTCCTGGTCTGCAGAACAAAACCTTAGCACAAGTTATCTTTTAAGACTGAAAACAGATGTCATTGCACTGAGAAACAAGAAACATGTACAATTTCCCATTGGCAACCAGTAATCACCCCCCCAAATTTGTTTCTTCTTGCTTTTCCACTGCCTTTGACCTTCTTAACTGTGTGTCACCCATGGTGAACTCTAATACACAGCTCCAAGTCATCAGGCCCATGTCATGGTGAACTCTTGTACACAGCTCCAAGTCATCAGGCCCATGGCATGGCCTCAAACACCCAACTTTTTACTGTGGGTTTCACTGCTCTCACTGAAACAAACTGACAGACCCTGTCCCAGGGTGCCCAGGGAGGCTGTGGCTGCCCCAACCCTGGCAGTGTTCACAGCCAGGTTGGATGAGCCTTGAGCAACCTGCTCTGCTGGGAGGTGTCCCTGCCCAGGGCAGGGCTTGGGACTAGCTCCATTCCAATTGTTCAACATACTATGAAACTCTATCCTGACAGTGCTCATCACCTTCCAGTGCTCTGGACACATAATGGTGCAGTGGGAATTCCCAGGAATTCCCTCTTCCCTAGTGCCTTCTTCCTTGTGCAGTCCTTCTGACACCAGTCAGATACCAGTCCAAGTGCTCCCAGGCTTTACCCTACACATCCAGACAATATAAACTACTCTCTTTGCTGCTGAAAGCAAAGCTCAGTTTGATCTTTATTTACAGAGACTCTATTTTGACTCATGACTTAATACCTGTTATGCCAAAAAGGGATGACAGACACAAATCCCAGGCCCTGGTTTGGGTGAATCACCTCTCCCCAGGTTTGTCTGCACTCAGCCAAACCAAGCAGCTCCCTGGTGGAGCCTCCTCTCCTCTCCATGCAGCAATGCTTGGTTTGCACCTGATAAAACACCGAAACCAATCATTTACTGGAGACTACTCTCCATAAAACTCATAATGTTGTAACCCCACTGGTGTGCACACACAAATCATCCACTTGCACTGGTAAAATTGCTGTTAGTCACCCAAAACTCAATGCACAGGAGAGAAAACTACCCATCAAACCTCAGATCCTTTAATCTCAGCTTATAAGCACTCTTTGGGTGCTTAGACCATCTTCTCTATGGGTAGAAATTGATGCTGTCTTGTGCAAAAATCAGATTTCTTCACAAGTTTGCCAGCTGAGACCGTGGGTGTGAAATCTGTGCTGCACCAGAAGCAAAGCTTCTCTCTTAGAGCAAGCTAAACAAACACATTTGTAAGTTCATGTAAACTTGATCCACAGCAAAGGAGGTGCCAAAAATAACAGGCTCCATTCCAGCCTTTCTACAATTTTACCCAAATACTTAGCTCTTCCTCAAGTGCTGCACTAAAGCAGGCTGAATTTCATACTCAGATGGACAATCATCCCACAGATTTCCATGCTATAATGTTCTTCTCGGGCAACTTGAGGAGCATCTCATCCTCCAGAGGGAGTGGACAGACCTGAATGAGACAGACCTCATGCACTCTAAAAAAAAAAAGTTTGTTTTCTGAAGAGTAGCTTGTGATTTAACTGGGGAACTTGCTATTTTAAATGAGTCCTGAATGCTGCCTCATTAGTAAAAAATGCAGAACAAATTACATAGCACTGACCCTGCACAAACACAGATTGTCCCTTGGGTCAAACTGAGATTCATTCCTACAGCCAGTTTTTCTTCCCCTTTTCTCCTTCCCTCCTGGACTAGGAACACAAACATTCTTCACAGGAAATGCAGAGAGAGAACTGCTACACCTTGGATCTGTGGTTAGCCAGCATTATCCTAACAGCACATCTTCCACACATTCCCCAGGGTCTGCTATAGCCTGAGACTCTCTGGAGGACATCTCAACTGCAATCACCTTCTTTCCATGCTGTGTCCTTCACAAGAAGCATGTGATTCCCTCCAACTGCACTACAGGTTGCCAGGGAGTTTATTAGGATGGAAATACCCAGGAAAAAGGAATATCAACCCAGGACTGCAAAGCAACAAGCTGAGGTGGCACAGATCTTGTGCCCATCTGAAATGGAGAGAGCCTCCAGCAGGTGGTGGATTCACCACCCTGGAGGTTTTTAAGATGAGACTAGCTGTGGCACTTAGTGCCATGGTCTAGTAACCATGGTAGGGTTGGACTTGATGGTCTTGGAGGTCATTTCCAACCCTGTTGATTCTATGATACATCTACTCCTTCAGAACACGCTGTTCACAGACACCTGGGACACCACTGCCCCAGCTGCTTCACACCTTCTCCCACACACCTGTCACCTCTGGTGCTGGGGGAAAGGGATGGACAACCTCTCCAGATGGAGATGGGTCCTGTACATACAGCTCCACCAGATTGGAGTCTCCCTGACTGGAGAGATTCCAGAACCATCTGGATG